ATAGCTTGACTCCCTCTTCTTTGGGGCAGCCCCTGAGATATTGGAAGACTGCTATCCTGTCCCCCCTCGTCCTTCTCTTCATTAAACGAGACATACCCAATTCCAGCAATTGATCCTTATATGTTTTAGCCTCCATCCCCTAATCATCTTTGTTGCTCTTCTCTACACTCTTTCCAGAGTCTCAACATTTTTTGTATGTTGTGGTGACCAAAACTAAATGCAGTATTCTAAGTGTGGTCTTATTCAGGCTTTGTAAAGCGGTACTAACACTTCACGTGATCTTGATTTTATCCCTCTATTAATGCAGCCTAGGACTAAAAGTGGATCTCACTGGGTCGCCTTTGGGGCCTGGGCCAGGCAGTTGGGATATCAAATCATCTTGGGGGAGATAGATTTACCCAGAGACTTCTGTCTCCCAAGTATCAAAGACATCCCTAGAAAAAACATGTCTTATTTCATCTTTTCTTCATCCACTTAACTTGTAAAGACAGCAACAGCAGAGCTCCAGTTGCTGACGGCTTTCCTCTTATCACCGGAGCCATCCAGCCCTAATCAATATTCTTCATAATTCTCTTTCCTCAGTTTTTTATTTTTAAATAGAGCTTTGCTTTCTGGTCTTCTTTCATATTTTCATTAAACATTTTTAAAGACAGTAGATAACTATTAAAGAAGAAACAAGGATCAAAAATAAAACGCCTGGGAATAGACAAGGGATTTTAAAAGGTCATAGGGATTAGAACTGTCCAGTGTAACCTTAGTTAATTATAGTGAACTGAATATATTATCTTTAAAAGACTGAAAATTGGTTTTAAGCTCTATGGAGAATGTTAATCATAAGACCCACAGTCAACCCAGTGCAAATTATTATAAATTCAGCACGTATTTCTGATAGTCTATTCTGATTGAGATAAACTCTAAAACTGAAATCTAGCGTCTATATATGGAATAACCCAAATTATGGATGTAGTGCAATTCCAGATGTGACCCAGGACTGGTCCCCTTTCCTCTTCCAACAACTTTACGTTCAGCAGGAGAACAGTAATAATAATAATAATAATAATAATAATAATAATAATAATAATAATAATAATAATAATAATAATAATAAAGTTGGAAGGGACCTTGGAGGTCATCAAGTCCAACCCCCTGCTCAGGCAGGAAACCCTAGACCATTTCGGACAAATGGCTGTCCAGTCTCTTCTTAAAAACTTTCAGTGTTGGAGCATTCACCACTTCTGGAGGCAGGTTGTTCCATTGGTTAATTGTTAACTACATCAGCTACATTGGAAAGCCACACTCAAAAGCCTCCAAGATTCTTTACACTGAGGTCCTCAGGCTTTGGTGGTAGACTGTTCCTCGCTGTGGAAGTTCCATTGTCCTTCATTGCCTCTTGTAGCCTTTCTTCTCCCCCCTCGCCCCCATTCTTACTTTTTGAAAAGGAGACAGTCAGTGCTGGGGGTCTTCTGAGCATAAACAGAGAACTGAGCATAAACAGAGAACTTTCTGCTCTTGGCTGTGGCAAGAGTGAAGAAAGAGTAAAAGGTATAAATTTGGTCTGAAGAGTATTGCCAGGAGCAGAGGACGGTGTGACACCAATATTGACATGACGAGTAGTGATTAGGGAGCATATCTGTCAGCTTGCAGAAGGAAAATCAATGCCGACTTAATTTTCTACTCCATCCTCCCCTTTCAGCCTTGGCTAAACTTGAGCAAAATTAGGGGGGGGGGGGGAGAATCTGCAGGCGGTGCTCAACTTGTAACCATTCGTTTAGTGACCGTTCAAAGTTACGACAGCACTGAAAAAAGTGACTTACAACCAGTTTTCTCACTTACTGTACAACCTTTGCAGCATCCCCAGGATCACGTGATCAAAATTCAGACGCTTGGTAACTGATTCATATTTATGACGGTTGCAGTGTCCCGGGGTCATATGATCCCCTTCTGATGAGCAAAGTCAATGGGGAAACCAGATTCATTTAAACCAGTGGTTCTTAACCTGGGCGGTACCGCCCCCCAGGGGGCGATTTCATTTTTCAGGGGGGCGATGGAACGAAAAGGGGCGGCGTGGGGGCGATGGAACGAAAAGGGGGCGATAGGGGGGCGATGGAGCGAGATGTTTTGGGGACACTTTTGAGCCTTCTCCTGCAGCTCCGAGCGTCCTCCGCCATTTGTAG